TTTATTACTTTATATAAAGAACCACATTTTGAACTCATCAAGTGTTTTGTTCCTTTTACTTAAATGTTATTATTAAATTGATTTAAATAAATAAAAAATACCAGAAATAAATGAGTTATAAATTATATAAAATTTAATTCATGAATAAAAAAATGGGTTATTTTACATAGCCCTAGCCACCAAATAAACTAGGGATAAACCCAAGCCCAAATCATCATTTGATATACCCCCTTGGGAAGCGAAAGTACTATATTACCCTTCTGTGCAATTTTCGGCCAAACTGCATTCAGCATTTTCGCTGATTCATTTATTATTATTTTCCTTTTTTTTTAATAAATCTCTTTGTTATATATATATATATATATATATATATATATATATATATATATATATATATATATATATATATATATATATATATATATATATATATATATTTTTATTTTTTTTAATTTTTTATTTTTTTTTAAATTAAAAAAATTATTTTATTTTATTTTATTTTTATTTTTTTTAATTTTTTTTTAATTTTCAAAACAATATGTTTACAGTACTGAAAATAACTACATGTAACTATAGTACCTATAGTAATTCATAGTTATGTTTGTTTTTTTTCCCCATATTTTTAGTCGATCAATTGTATACACACACAAATACTGACTTATACAAAATAAATTCATAAACCCCAACAAAAATTTACAAATTTAAATATTTTTATTATAAATCACATCAGAACCAATAAAATACAAATCAAAAATACACAAATATACGCATATGTAACTACATGTTACTATAGTAATGTATAGTAATGTATACAGTCTGTTGAACAGATCTGATGTAACTTCAAAAAAAAAAATTTGACACCTTCAAGGAAAGGATCAATGGCCTTCATTAAGCTGCAATTGCAAAATCAAAACAAAAATGAATCACTTTAGTGCAAATCAACAAATTTGAAGAAAAACATCAAAACACTCAAAAATCACCAAACAGTAAGAGATCGAGAGATAGAGAGAGAAGTTATTGCTGGGAAATGCTACAGATTTTAAATCAAACAGACGGTGACTCCTCACTCCCCTCGCCTCCTACCAAAACCCTAGACGCCGCTAATAACCACCAACGGTTCCGCGCGCCCACAAATGCAAAAAATATAGAAATAAATTTGAAAACATAAAAATAAACGAAATTACCATCAAAATATAGATCCCGACGAGAGGAATCCAACGGTGGGTGACCCGTCAAATTTCGACGGGTGGAACACAAAATAAAGCTCCGACAAGACCACCGTCCTCGAATGAAAAAAAATTGCAGAAACTGATCAGCGTTGGAAACTGAATGAAATCACCACCAACAGAAAGAGCTCGACGAGAGGAATCCAACGGTAGTTAAACCATCGAATTCCGACCACCGGAGAGAGAGTTATGGCTCCAGGAAGCAATTTCGCCGGTGGGAGGTTTGTGGAGGCGGGATTTTGAATTTGGGAGAGAAGAAGAGAGACCGTGAGTGGCTAGGGTTTAAAACTGATTTTAAAAGGGTATTATAGGAACTTCAGGGTAGCCCAGGGGGGTATGTCAAAATATTTTCGAAATGAGGGGGGTTTCCCGTAGAGTGTAATCCACTTGGTAGTTAGTTATATATAATCCCTAAAAAAATACGGATATTCAATTTAAATTATTTAAACTTCGAGGCTTTTATTTACAATTAAATGTACTAAATTTGACGTTATGGAGAAATATATATATTTTAATTTAAATATTACTGAAGTGTATATTTCATCAAATATTTGAAAAACTATATCATCTAAAGTATTCATTAAACTATAATATTTATTAATAATATAAAAAATCAATTCTAAAAATAAGATGTCATGTGCTAAAGAGAATTAAAACAAATTGAATGGGAGAATAAAATTATAAATTATTTTACTACTAAAACCGTTAATAGTCAAATAAGTTGACCATGAAATTAAGGGGTAAGTGTATTTTTCAAAGTGCGTGGGGTAAGTATTACATATGGTATAGTGTAAGGGGTAAAGTGTATATTTTATCCAAAAAAAAATTTATAAAAGTAAAAAAAAAAAAGTAAAATAATAGACGTGGATGATCAAAATTATTTTAAATTTTGAGGTTAAAGAAAGAACGTTAGTATAAGTTTACTTATAGCTAGACCAAATGGAGCGCAATACAATTTACTCAACATTTGGTCAGGGGTAAAAATATAATTTTAAAAAAAAGTAAATGGTCAAATGAGTTAAATCTATCTAAATTGAATATGCATAATTTTTCAAATTAGACGTAGTCGAGCTGTAATTACACCAAGTAAATTTACACTTTCTTTAAGGAAATTATTGGTAAATTTGACCGAAGTGATCATAACATGCGAGTAACACGAAAAAAGTCATAATTGTTTCAAACAATATTTATGTACGAAAAATGACTTAATTATTTCAAACAATATTTATGCAGAGAAATTCAAGATAATGAAAATTATCAACTATCACAACAAAATAAGAGAAATTTTAGTGTGATCACTTTTCATGCATGGATTAATATATAACAATTTATTTTAGTTATTTTCTTATGGTTTTATATTTTTATTGATTTCAATTTTAGAATAATTTTATTTCATCGTACGTTTTGATACATAAGTAGAACATGAAGTTTTGTACTTATTTAATTTTATTTAAAAGTATCTTTTTCATAAAATATAGTATGCAACTTTATTTAATTAATCATAAGTTATATATTAAATAAAATCATACGTAATCACGCACATGGTGCTTGCTAGTACTAATACTAATACTAATACTAAGGCTCATACTAATAATGATTATGTTACTGATACTGATAATAATACTAATGTTAATACTAATGGCAATGCTTAGGGATGGGCATGAGTGGGGTCGGGTAATTATCGGTCTATTACCTACACGACTCGAAACCATTATCGCTCCGACCATTATTATCGTATAATGGTCGGCAACCGACTTTGTCGGATAAATAATGAGTCGGTTAGATGTATTATTGGCCAGCTATTTAATCATTTGTTTTTAATAATAGTAAGATGTTTTAAATGTTTTTTCAGAAGATATTAAAAATTTGAAAAAAAAACTTATATTGCAAAAATTTTAACTTTAAAATTAAGAGTCTTATTTTATTAGACTTCTACAATAAGTAAATATATAATGAAGAACATAAAATAAGAGTTATAAAATATACCGGGTCCGTTATTCTAATGGGCCGTGAGTTACCATGATTTACATTCCTTCATCAAATACTTGTCGCCAAGGGATAGGGCCTCTGGGGGCGAGGGATTTCGCCTTTTTGGTACAAGAGTTATAAAATATAAATAGTACATATATGTTTATAAAATTGTGCTTCGAGTTTTTGAGTTTTGACCTCTTTTATATATTATTTCAACGTTAAGAAAATAAGAGTTATAATTAAATATTTATAATATTTTTTTTATTAAAAAGTCGATTGGCCGATAATACCCGACCAACCGACTTTTGAGTAATGGGAAATTATCGATCGACCCATTTATATATGGTTAAAATTACTGGCCTGACAATAAAATTATCAGCCGAAAAAATTATAGACCGAAAAAAGCAAGTCGAAAGTGGGTCGGTTGGCCGATAAAACCGACCCATGGCCAGCCCTAGCAATGCTAATAATAATGTTAATGCTAATGTTAATGCTAATAATGCTACTAATAGTAATTACATTACTAACACTAATATTAATATTAGAGCAACTCCAATGAAGGGGTATTAAAATGAAGCATCAAACACTTACTTGATGCTTGAGATAATACATTGATACTTTTAAAAAAACTCATATAGTCCAACCATACGCATTAAATAAATTATTATTCATTTTTCATTGAAATTTATTGATATTTTATTAATTTTTTTCCATTGAATTTGCTAGAGCTATTTTTAAGGAATATTTGGTTCCTTCTTTTCTTTTTTTTTTCTTTTTTTTTTCCTTTAGTTGCATTTTTGCACCTCTAGGAGATTGAGTATCAAATTAACTACCACTATAATGCTTCCATATCGAAATGATAGTTTTGTAATTTAATACTCCATTTGGTTCTCCCATTGGAGTTGCTCATAATACTTACAGTTATACTCATATTAATACTCATACGCGTATGCATATGCATACTATACTAATACTCGCATTCGTACTCATAGTAACACCAATACTTGATATTAATAATGATACTAATACGGATATTGATACTAATATTTATAATAATACTACTGATATATAAATATTGATACTGATACGGATACTGATATTGATACTCATACTCATATTTATACTATTTCAAAGCGGTTATCCTTTTTCTTCTCTTTGATTTTGTAGGGAATGAAAGTGTGAAAATTACAAATTTGTATAGGGCATTTTGTCCTTTCATTTTTGCCCAAGATTAAATTTAGGTAGATTTGTTGTTCTTTTGTTTTTTCTCTTCTTTTGGGCTGTAGATTTGGTAAAAAAGAGAGACCGGAGAGAAAAAAAAAAAAAAAACCCTCGATTTTGGGAAAAATCCATTCCCTTCGTAGCATCACTTCCAAGTAGACATGGCCACGGGGCGGGTCGGGTCCGGGTCCGGGTCGGACCCGCCGGGTCCGGGTCCGACTTTTTGAGGACCCGAAACCGACCCGGGGGGAGGCGGTTCCGGGTCCGGGCCGGGTCCACTCGGGTCCATCCGGGTCCGGGCCGGGTCCACTCGGGTCCATCCGGGTCCGGGCCGGGTCCACTCGGGTCCATCCGGGTCCGGGCCGGGTCCGGGCCGGGTCCACTCGGGTCCATCCGGGTCCGGGTCGGGTTCGGGTCCGGGTCCTCGGGTCCACCCGACGGGTGGACCCGTCGGGTCTCGGGTCCTAAATATCGGGACCCGAAACCGACCCATACATTTTCGGGTCCATGGTCAACGGGGCGGGGCGGGGCAGTCGCCGGGGCAGGTCCGGGCCGGGTCCGGGTCCGACCCGGCCCGTGGCCATGTCTACTTCCAAGCACATCTCTTCAGTTTCAGAGCTAATAGATTTTGGTTGGGGGAAAAACAATCATTTTCCCGAAATTCATTCACCATATGAGTATGCCGGTAGCACAAGGTACCGGAAGCCAGATACACATTCGACCGATAGACTCAGCGAGTTGCCGGACTCAGTACTCACTCACATTCTCTCCGTACGAACCAGCATTCTCGGTCAAAGATGGAGGTATCTCTGGTCTCATGTCCCCAATTTACTTTTTGACTGCGAGGGTCAAAGATATCATAAAGAGGGTTTTGTTGCTTCATAAAGTGCACAACATCAACACTTTTCAACGAGTTTCAAATCGAGACATGGATTACCTTTGCCATTGACCGCAATGTGCGGAGCATCGATCTTCACTGCTCCGAGTTGGACGCTCGTATGCCTCGTTGCCTCTTCAACTGCAGAACCCTCGTCGAATTGAGGCTCGAATTTTGCGTTATCACCGATGCTTACGAGTTCCTTACTTACCTACTCTCCGGTTCTCCGGTTATCGAGGAGTTGGTATTCCAATCGACCAATGACTTTGATTCTTTTAAAATATCTTCACCCACACTCAAACGGCTCACACTCGGTCTTGCTATTTTCCGGTCTGACGACCTTGACTGCATGTTGGAGTCAGATACCCCTGCACTTGTTTATCTCCGGTCAGTTGATTTGTCAGCCGGTCGTATCAAATCTGTGGAGCTAACCTCATTAGTTGAAGCAAATATCCATATTTTCAATAATATCAAGCCACAAGACAGTTTTATTTATTCTCGACTACTGGTGGAACTTATCGATAGGCTCCGTAATGTGAAGTGCCTGAAATTAGTTCTAACACATAGTACAGAGGTTTGCGTTAAATCCATTTATCAGCTCATTGTATATATTGATTGATTTAGTGATGGTAAAATCTTATACTGACTACGTGCTTGTTTTTTCCAGATTATTGGTTCACTATTCTCGGAGAGGAATATAAGTTTTCGTAACTTAACCAACCTCGAGTTGACTACTAATTGCCCCTTTCTCTTGAAGTTTCTTGAAAACGCCGATAATCTTAAAATCCTTACTCTCCACGAGGTTTGTTGGCGCAACAAAAGATAATACAATTTTTCTCTCGTTTATGTCCTATTTATAGTCTTGCTTAACTAACGGACTTCTTCTTCACTGATGATATTATTAGGTTTTCGGAGTTTTAGAAGTCTGGTCGAAACCCCAACAAGTGCCGACATGTCTAATATCTCATCTTAGAACTATAAAGCTTGTTCTTTCTGTAGGTTCAGAGCATACGTTTAGAATTGTGAAATATCTTTTGAGGAATGCTCTAGTCATTGATAGGATGGAAATAGTATATACATGCTTACTTAATCCCGAACAAAAGATTTCTATGCTCCAGGAAATCTCTTTGTTTCAACGAGGATCCAATGCATGTGAAGTTGCCTCTGTTCAGCGGGATGGTTTATATAAGTTGTAATGTCTTTTGATATCACTGGTGTCTATTGCTTCCGTTGCTTTATGTACTCGGGCCTCTATAATGTTTTTTCACGAGCATCATCTATTAATTTATGTGCGTGACCTACAAAATTAACCATCTTTACCCTACATATTTGTTACCATGGCCTACAAATTTCACAATCTTCACTTCGATTTTGTTGTTGTTACTTTCCCCGAGGAAAGAGGAAAAATGGAAAGATGTGTTTTACTTGCAAGTTACAACCAAGACTGGAAAAAGATAAAACACCCTTGTACTTAGATTATCTGCAGATTGTTGATCGATTGTCCGAGCGTTTGAATTTGTATTGGAATTTGTTGATAAGCTTTGCGACATCAAGTTTATGAAGTTAGATTTGCCATTTTGTACAGAGGTACGAACTCAATATATCTCCTTTGAACTCATTGTGCATTTTCTTTGGTGGTGGTAATTGGATCAAGTAAATTTATAGTGGCTGTGCATTTCTTTACATATCTGTTTAGTAGAATATGCGATATAAAATATCAAAATCTAAAACTTTAACTCAGAATTAGTGTGAAGGTCCTGAATGATTGTGGCTAATCTTTGTTGTGAAAGTCACAATATGCTCGATTTTGCATCTGCTTGATTGGTTTTTGAATGATTGAGTTTTACGAGGTTAATTCATATTGTAACTAGTTTAAATTTAGTATTGAGGTTAAACAATGGAAAGGTATTCTATATAGCACTGCTACTTTTTAATAGTTGGTTCTCCAAATTGTGTGCTTCGGTGTAACAAGATTAATTCATGGAGACAAAGAGCCAAAGTCCATTGGATGAGGGAGGGGGATAAAAATACAAAATTCTTCCACATTAGAGCATCTTCTAGGAAAAAGAAAAACACAATCATAGAGCTTCAGAACGCAGCAGGACAATGGTGTGAAGAGGATGGCGAACTAGAGAGCAATGTTTTAGAGTACTTTCGGGGGATTTTTAAATCAGATAACCGACAGATGATGAGTTGAATGAGGTTCTAACAGCCATTGTCCCAAGAGTCGGGCATAATATCAACGTGGAATTGACCAGCGAATTCACAAGAAACACCGAAAGGTATGCACCCTCTTTATCTACCAACGTTTCTGGTAAATTGTCGGCAAGGATGTTACCGAATGGGTTCTAAGGTTGCTAAACCACAAGGAAATTCACACGGCGGGGAACCACGCACATATTGTTCTCATTCCGAAATGCTAGAGACCCGAAACCATGGCTCAGTTTCGCCCTATCAGTCTCTGCAACGTCGTTTATAAGATTGCTTCAAACACGATTGCAAATCGCCTAAAGCCATTTCTGAATTAAATTATATTTGAATTCCAATCGGCCTTTGTCTCGTCGAGACTCATCACTGATAATATCTTGATTGCATATGAAACTGCTCATTACATGAAGCGTAGTACTGGAGAACATATGGCAATTAAATTAGATATGCGCAAAGCCTACGGCCGAATTCGTGGATTTTTTTGAAAAATATGGTGTTAAGGTTGGGCCTGGAAGCCGGATTTGTTGAATTGGTAATGAAATGTGTAACCACCGTGACATATTCTTTTGTCTTAAATAGTGGAGTATTTGGGTCTCTTTCCCCAAAGAGAGGTTTACGCCAAGGAAATCCATTATCTCCTTATCTTTTCTTGTTCTGCGCCGAGGCATTAAGCGCTCTTATTGTACGGGAGGAAAGAAGAGGAAATTTAGCGGGTCTAGTGGTGTGTTGGGGGTCACCGCGGGTTTCACATCTTCTCTTCGCAGACGACACAATGAGTTTTTGCAAAGCTGATCAAAGATCCGCCTAGAGTATTAAGAGCGTTCTTGAAACATATGCGAAGGCTTCGGACAAGTAGTTAATTTTCAAAAATCAAGCATTGCATTTATCCTACATTTACTAAAAGTCGTCATGTATTCATCATTTCCCAATTAATTAACCTGAGGGGTTTCACTAATAAAGGAAAAGGAGGTAGATCCATCCCTATTATACCGAATGTGTTTTCACTAATTATCCCTTTTTTTTCTTGGTTGGTCTTGAACAAATTAAAAATAGGAATGTAAGTTTTTTGTTTGTATTACGGTAGTATTTGTGGATGAGGATATATTCGTCCTATTTGATCTTAATATAAGGAAATTATATTAACTTGTGGTCTTGAAATAAGGAACCCTTTTATTGGTGTTTGAAAAAAAAAATTGGACGTGCATATATCCGCTGGCCGCTGCATTTACCCTATTTTAAATGGGATAATTAGTGAAAATCCCCCGCCTTATTAGGTATAATAAGGATAGATTCACCTCCTTTTGCTTTATTATTGAAAACCCCCATATTAATTAATTGAATAAATATTTAGCAAACTAATATTTAATATACCAAATTTACCCGCATATGCCAGATATATTTATCAGATCTATTGTTATGGGGAATTCATATTTTGTTATTGTACCCTAATTTGGGGCCTGTAATTTTATGTGTTTGATAAATTAACTGAATGATTGTAGTTTTACCCTTCACAGGCCTGACTATAGACAGTGGCAGTTAAGTTAAATCATTAATTCGAGAGTCATGCAATTGAAACTGAAAGAATAAAAAAATAAAAATAAAAAGGATTCTAAACACACAAGTTACATATAGCAACTAATTAATTATGAACATAAGAAGAAAATGAAAGAATAATATTTCGAACAGTTATCTTAATTGTTACCCCCCTCGTCTTAAAGTTAGTTATTCTTGGACGACGACTTGGAATATAGGGACGGAATGCTCTGCTCGTTTCTGAAGAAGTTAGTTGGATCGACCTTAGTTTTAATCTGCACCAACCTTTTGAAGTTGTTCTTGAAATACTTGAGCCCCCAAACGCTAGCCTGCGCATAACTTGTTGTTGTTTTGCCATCTCCTCCGTTATAATTATTTACTCCCAAATCGAGGTCTCGATAATTCATATACGAAGCTCTTGGAGACTTTGAAACGTAAGGAGTCATGTAATCATGTAGTTTCCTCGACCAACTTATCGATCTTTCCGATGCAACTGCTCCACTCTCTTCCCAATAAGCCAATTGTTGAATTTTGTATAGATTTCCTGCTCTGTGTGGGAATGGCAGTGCGGTTTCCGATATTTCCTTCATTTTTCCACCGTACGGGACTACTAACAACTCCCCCATATTTGCTTCTCTCTCGAGCAACAATTTCCACATTCCTTCGAACCCTTTTATCGAGATTGGTTCCTGCACATAGTCTAGTTTCGCTTTGAAGTAATACCTTGTTATCGGAAGCGTGCTCCTTATTTCAGGGTTTCTGCTCGTTACGACTTCCGGGGAAACTTGTATCGAATATCCCCCGAAGAAAAGTGCCGATTGGATCCAGCTCACCTCAGTGCAATCTTCTCTCCTGACTCCCAATTCCGGAAAGCTCTGTTCCAACAACGGCAGCAGTTTGTCGACCCCACCGAGATACACCGAATTGAAGTTGGCTTGAATAGTTTTGCCGCCAGCAACTCCACTCGAGTTCACCGGTCCAATAGAAATCGAAAGCAATATATCTTCGTTAAGATTCGGAGCAATATATTGCCATTTATGAACTAGCTGAGTTGCATTCTGCTCCAGTGTTCTTCCAACGGAGAATATGGTTAGGGTTTCCGGAACTGTAACCAACTTCAATTTCCATGCAGTTATAACACCAAAGCTAGAGCCGCCGCCACCTCTAATGGCCCAAAAAAGATCCTCTCCCATCGATTTTCTGTCAAGAATCCTTCCATTAACGTCGATAATACGAGCATCGATAATATTATCAGCGGCAAGGCCGAATTTCCTCAGCATCGGGCCGTACCCTCCACCGCTAAAGAGACCGCCAACTCCGACGGTGGGGCACGCGCCTGCCGGAAAAGCGAGCGTCTTACTTGTCTGGCTGATTCGATAATAGAGCTGCCCGATGATTGCACCTGCCCCAACCCATGCAGTTTTTTGGTCAACGTCGATTGAAACTTCGCTGAAATTAAACAAATCGAGGACTACAAATGGAACTTGAGATGTATACGAGAGACCCTCGTAGTCGTGGCCGCCACTTCGAATTCTGATCTGCATGCCATTCTCTCTGGCGCAAAGAATAGTTGTTTGAATTTGAGATTCTTCGAACGGGGTAACGATTACTTGAGGTCTGGGAGTGGAAGATGATCTGAATCGAAGGCTTCTTACGGAAGATAGTAAAATCGATAGATACGAAGCGTCGTTTGGGGTATAAACAACACTGGAAATTCCAGTATTGTTTGGCAAATGAAGGGAAAGGCATTGTAGAAAATCATTTTGAGGCGGACTGTGGGACGATTGAGCGTGGCAAGAATTACACGAAAGGATAATCGATACGATCATAAGAATCGAAAGAAAGGAATATGGAGTTTTCATTGTTGAATATTATTATATTTGTATGTGTGTTGATTGATATGCGAATGAGAATGAGAGGAATGAGAGCTTCTATTTATACCCACGTATATGTGTTACGTAAAGAATTGGTGAATTTGTCAATTCAAAGTTGTGTTTTGCCGTATGAATTAATGAGTGGGGTTTGAGGAATGAAGACTTTCCTTTTTCATGGAATAAAACGCTGTTGACTTTTCAGTTTTCAAGCATCGCGTTTTTAGATCTTCTTTTGAATTTGGT